TAGGGAGGAAGGGTCAGGGATTCTGCATTTTGCTTTATTTGTGGCGCTCCCTTGGGTCCTGGGGCAGTTTGAGTCGTTTATTGACATTCTGTGTAGAGTCCAGCTGGAAGCTCCTAGGACGGCTGAAAAGCCAGGTGAGCGCCGCAGCTGGCCCCCAGGAACTGTACGCAGGTCCCTCGGCCTTGCTGTCTGACCGTGTGACAGGAGCACACCAGGCTGGATTGTGCTGCTGCTACGGCAGGAAATAATTGGGAGATCTTATCAGCTTCAACACAGTTGTCTATTATCAGAGGCCACTTTTCTTAGAGGAGCCTGTAGCTAAAAGACTGGAAAGAAGGTAATTTTTAACCAACCAAGTTGAAAGAAAAGTACCCTCCAGAGAAGCCTCTGTACAAATAAGTATGCGTTTTGCTGTCGTGTCCGTGGGGCTGCTGCTAAAGATGCTGTTTGAGTAAAGAGGCTGATCAGAACCCAGGAGGATTAAATGCTTCCAGGAGGGTTGCTGTCTCTGCTGTTTAATTGCTGTGATTAAAACACCAGGAACTGTGCCTTCGTCTGCAGCAGTGGGGAGGTGGGAATTGACACAGGACCTCGGTGTCCCAGGCGCAGTGGCCACGCCTGCTGTCCTGTTTGTCAGTGACTGGGTTACCTAACTGAATGCTCTTGACACCCCGACGGCCACGTTGGCCTCGAGTAGCCAGCATGCAGCCCCTGCCTTGCTGGAGCCGGAACCGCAGGAGGCGGCCATGTCCAGGTGGGCAAGGCCCTCGGTTGGCTGATGGTTGTTGGGAAGCCCCCCTTATACCCACCCCCTGGTGATTTCCCACCCTTTTTCTTACTGGTGCCCGTCACCCTGCCATGTCAGCCCTGTGGACACCGTGCCAGGGCTTCTGGAAGAGCTCCGTGGGGTTTCGAGTGTGACGAGTTCTCCGTTCTCCCCACTTCCCAGGAGCACCTGAGCCCTGTCTGGGTTGGGCTGAAGTAAGAGGAATTGAAGTGTTGGTTTTTAAAAGCTGTTGACAGTGATGTTTATTGCAATTGGACATGGGATTTTTTTTAATACCAAGTTGGTACAAGCAGAAAACCAGTGGCTAGGTGACAATACAAGTACATTGAGGGACCAGATATTGGGTGGGCCTGCTGGTAAAAGTTAGCCTCTTCAAGAGGCTGCCCATGTGAGATGTGTTGCAATGAGAAGGTGACACAAGTGTTGATTGTATCAGAGGATGGCAGGGAGGGGACACTTGTTCACTGGCATAAAGGAAAAGGGATCAGCTCTAGCTCCAGTGAGTCTGAAATCCACCTGCTGTCCATTGCTGAGTTCCATGTATGGAAGAGGCTCTCTGATAACTTCTGCTTTCCCAGGTGTTAAGTCGGGAAGCAAGCTGTGCGTAGGTGGTTGATCACCGGAGATCAGTCTCATCTTATCTCGAGTACAGACCACAGTCATCCTTTTTTCTGTTTTGCATGAGAGCTTCGGCAGTGCCTTTCGAGTCCAGGCTGTCCAGGGTCTGACCTTGGGGTGTGACCATGATGTCCAGCCGGAAGCCAAGGCACTGCCCAAAACAGTTGGTGGCCACAGGTGCTGGGACCAGGTGAGAAGCCACCCTGGAAGCTGTTGTGTCAGGCTGAGGACTGGCGTGTTGAGCTGTGTGTGGCGTGGGACTCCGTGTGGGGAAGGGATCTCACCCGGGGAGCAGGGCTGGAGAGACCGCAGTGTGTCAGCAGGATTCCGAGGCAGAGAAACTCATGGGAAGAAAGACAGTACAGCCGCCCCATCAGAAGCACAGATGTTGAAGTTTAAGAAAATTAAAACAGGTTTGGAAAAAATATACTGTGAGACCCTTGGGCTGTTAGCT